TAGTGGACAGTGTTTGGTGGAGCTTCCAGATTAACACAGGTTTGGAAGCTGAAGTGACATCCATTTCCTAAACAACATGCCTCTGGAAAGTCTACGAACTTAAAGAAATGGTGATAGTTATAGAACAGGTCTTTTGTTCATAAGGTCACTATGAGTCATGTTCTACTTGACAGGAATCAACAACAAAAAGCCTGGGTAAGATAGATTGATTCAATGACTGGGGTAATGTGGGTAGGTTGGCAATAAGGTTGGCACAGCATAGAGCATGGTTCAGAGCTGTTTTACATAGGATCACTACGAGCTGCAAGCGACATAACAGCACATACAACATTTTAAAGATACTTAGTGAGTTGGGTAAAGACAATAAAATGATTAGCAGAGACCTTGGCACACAGTTGTTGTTGTTGTTGTTGTTGTTGTTGTTAAGTGTTATTGAGTCATAGACGACTCATAGCGACCCTATGAACAAAAGACCTGAACACACTTGTATAACTTTCATCCTTTCTCCAAGTTCACAGGGTTTCCAGAGGCAAGCTATTTCATAAATGGATGCCACTCCTGCTTCCAAGCTTGTTTTAATGGGGGAGTTCCACCAAACACTATCATCAGTGTCACAGTGTTTAGCATCACAGCAACCACGAGTTACTTTTATACAGCAATGCACAGACCAGGCTATATGACCTAGAAGAATGTTTGACCAAAACCAATTAAAACCAGGCCTGAAAGTCGCGGATTAAAGTCACCCACCTTTGGCTTGGTAGTCTCCCTTTCTGTCCACTAGGCCAACTGAGCTCTCTCATTGTTGTTGTTGTTGTTGTTGTTGTTGTTAAGTGCTGTCAAGTCATAGGTAACTCATAGCAACCCTAGGAATGAAAGAACTGAACACTTGTATAACTTTCATCGTTTCTCCAAGTTCACAGGGTTTCCAGAGGCAAGCTATTTCAGAAGTGAATGCCACTCCTGCTTCCAAGCTTGTTTTAACTGGGGAGCTCCACCAAACACTGTCCACCATGGGTGACCATTATCACATTTGACACATCAGTGTCACAGTGTTTAGCATCACAGCAACCACGAGTTACCTCTGTACAGCAAAAGGGCAAACCAGTGCTATACAACCTAGGACACAGTAAGTGTCTAATAAATTTAATCCTCATTGTGTTTGTTGGTGGCAATGGTGGTGGTGGTGGCATTATTATTGAAATGTAAACTTGAACTTTCCATTCATTGTTGTTAAATTTCATCTCACTGATTAGAGTTCCATGTTTTAATAAATTTTTAATGTGGAACCTCTCATCCAGCTCCCCTTCCATGCACCATCATCCAGAGATTAAATAAAGGCATAGGCTTCTGGAAAAGCTAGTTTCACTTAACAATTCAAGAAGGAAAAGCAAAGTCATTTCACTTTTAAATTAAAAGGTAATATGTAGATAAATATGGAAATATTATGCAGCAGAATGTAAAATCCACATCGACTTTTAAAACAAAACCTTTGACTTCAAAGCAACTTGAGGCTCTGTCTAGTCATTTTGGGCTCTGTGTCTAGAATCTTTCTTTTGCTACTGAGCAGGGACTTTGATAAGCTTGCTTGAGACGTACTCTCTCTATATTTTCACCATAAATCCTTACAAACACACCAGAAAGGAAATGAGATTGACTTACCAACCCGCCACATTCTCACGTAACTATTTTAAATTTTGAAGGCTCACAAAACCTCTGAACAATCTTGCACTATGGTGTACTATGTACTATCAGCTAATAATTCATGAAACATCCTACTAACTATACTAGATGGATTCTCTCCATATGGAAACCTTTCTTTCATTTCTATAACTGTAGTCTTATACAGTATTTAGCTTTTTGTGACTAACCTAATTCACTCAGTTTAATGTCCTCCAGAATCATTCCTGTTATTTAGTGTTTCATGAATTCTCAACTGTTTTCCAATACTACATAGTACTCCATTGGTAAATGTACCATAGTTTCTCTATCCATTCGCTTGCTAGTAAGTACTTGGATTGTTTTCATCTCTTTTTTAATTGTGAATAATAATGCTCCTTGGAAGTAAGGATTCTGGGGCTTCGTCTGACATACTTTGGATATGTTGTAAGGAGAGACAGGTCTTTGGAGAGGGACATCATGCTGGGTAGAGTGGAGGGACAGCGCAGGAGGGGAAGACCCTCTGTGAGGTGGATTGATTCAGTGACTGGGGTAATCAGGATGGGTGTGTCAGAGGCAATGACATTGGCACAGGATAGAGCAGGGTTTAGGGCTGTTGTACATAGGGTCGCTATGAGTCACAAACGACTCGACGGCACATAACAACAACAATAATGCAATCAATAAACATGGGTGTGTGTATCTATATATATGTGAGTCACAGCTCTAATTTCTTAGGGTATGAGCACTCATTTTTAACTCTTACTTTAAAAAAAAAAGCATTTTCCCCAATGCTATCGTCAGAATGTTGTATCAGAAAAAAAACAAACAACACTGCCCATCACGTTGCTTCTAACTCCTAGTAACCACTGCTCATTATATGAGGTTGTAAATCTTCCCACATGGAGACTGTCTCATTTTTCTTCTGCAAAGCCACTGGTAGATTCCAACTGTTCACCTTCTGGTTCACAGTCCTCCAGGCTATAATACCAGGGTTCTTTGAATGTTGGGCAACACTTTTTAGAAAATATTAATAGACAGGGCAGGGAGCACTGGTAATAGAATTCTAAATGAGTCTCTCTGCTAACAAAGGCTTCAAGTCTCTCCAATCTACCAATGGCTCCAAGAGAGGAAGAAGGGCAGGAGATGTAGATCCTCAGAAACCCAATGGAGGGTCTGTATTGAGCTGAGATTAACTTAATAAATAGCAGGGGACTTGAATATTGCATTTTGAACAGATAAGGCATATATTTTAATGGGAACTGTGGAGGTCTAATTAGCTAGTGTGAAGTCACACTGCCAACACAAAGGCAGATGGTTCAAATCCTTTTGCTGCTCCACGTGAGAAAGATGGGCAACCCCTCCCACAACCTCTGAAAAGCCACTGATTTTCAGAATAGCTATGAGTCAGTTCTAGTTCAACAGCAAGTGAATGAATGAATGAAGTGGACCTTTAATAGAGTCTGAGATTCAGTTCTCTCATTGAACTACAAAAATAGAGAAGAGTATGGAAAAACTCCCAGGAATAATTCTAGCCACCTAGATAAAATTCTATTTATGTTCCTTTATTGTTACCCAATCATGGTAATGGGTACCCATGCTGGACAGTGTTGGCTGGAGCTTCCCGACTAAATCAAGCCTGGAAGCAGGAGCGGCATCCACTTCCAAAATGGCTTGCCTCCAGAAACTCTATGTATGAACAGTGTTCAGGCCTTTCGTTCATAGGGTCACTATGAGTCGTCTACGACTCGATGGCATCAAACAACAACAACAACAATTGTTATGAATAGAACTTAGAGGTGGATTGACACAGTGACTGTCACAATGGGTTCTAGTGTGTCAAGACATGTGAGGATGGCATAGGATAGGACAGGGTTCAGATCTGTTCTTCATAGGCTCACTATGAGTTGTACTTGACTCAATGACACCTACCAACAACAACAGATAAAATTCTAGTTTAATGAACTGCTGACATGAGTTCTGTAATTTAACACACGAGAGTTTAAACTAAAGGACTGTTTCCTGTGCACTCTAAGTAGAGCTTTTCATGCAATCTGGAAAGCAATCTGGCTGGGAGGTTTCCCTACATGTCAAGCTAAACCTCAGATGGAAAATTCATGCTACAATGTATACTGTCTCAGTTCATCAAGGAAGCACTGGTGGTGGCTTAATGGTAAGGAATTACACTGCCAATCCAAAGGTGTACTGTTCAAATCCACCAGCTCCTTGGTGAGAGAAAGATAGGCAATCCCTTCATGTTTGAATACTGTCTCTGAAAACCTGCTGGAGGGTCAGTTATGGGTCATTTCCAACTCGATGGTACTCAACAACAATTCAGTTTATCAAGAAGTCAGCAGAGGGATAAGGATGTGGGCGGAGTGGTTGGGGATTAATCATTAGGTTGTACAATTTGATAGGGAGTGAGGGAAATTGGAAATATCTGGTCTGAAAAACAATGTTTTCTAATTTTTTAAATTAACTAGGATAGTTAAAAAAATAACAATAACAACAACAAAAAAAAGAAGTCAGACTGAAAACTGCTTTCATTTATGTAATTAATAGAGTTTAGGCTTGGTTTTGTTTAGTGGGAAAAATAGGCATTTGTTAAATAATTAGATGTCATCACTGTCTTACTAAGAAATAAAGAGAATGCAGTGAAATGTTCAGCACTGAGGTACCGCACTGCCTAGGAAAAGAACTGTGGCTGAAGATGAAGACCATTCAGTTTACCAATATACTCTCACTTACTAAAAAAAAAAAAATGTTTAGGGAAAGGGGTTTAAGCTAGAAAATAGAAGGGTTTTGCTGTTTAGGGAGGTTTTGTGTGTAGCTTTTTTTAAAGTCTTTTTTAAAAATCCATATAAGCTTACAGATTTCAAATCCTAAATCTACAGTAATTCTGCTTGTGCATCCGCCTTCTGAATAAACATTCTGCAATCTGCTGGATTTCTCTGTGATTTCCCCCACACCCCTACTTGTGAGTCTGTTTGGAAAGAAAAGAAAAAGGAAAGGGGGAAAAATCCTTCTGTTTTTCATAATGTCTAATCTTTTTCCCCATTGGCATTCACCAGATGTTGCTTTGGATCGGAAGATAAATATTAAAATCTAAGCAAGAACAAAGCGAACTGTTTACTGGGCAGATTTTTCAGATGTTCTCTTGAACACTTGAAAAGGACAGGAGATGCTTTGATATGCAGCTGGCTGGAATTCACAATGGAATGGCCTTGACTAAGAGAGTCATGGGGCCTGAGGCAAAGTCCACTCATCCTACCATCCCCAAAGGCACCATAGGCCGATTTGCCATGTAATCACAGGTAGGGCCAGGGCAGGGAAGATGGGGTTACCTGATAAAGAGCCCAGAGAATGGTGGAAGGGATGACTCAGTCCAATGATCTGGCTCAAACGAGCGTTGAGTACCGTCTTCACAAATGTAGAGGTAAGGCCATGACTTCGCCAGCCTCTCTGTCTTCACAGCAATAGTGAAATCACACTGTACGTAGGTGGGGCTGGAAACTTCACAGTCCTCTTCCTCAGGCTTCAGGCCACACAGGAAAGCCAGGGACACTGCAGGAAAGATCATGGTCAAGCAAGGTAAGGTAATAACCATCCAAAGAGCTCAAGTCTCATATTATTTCACAAATGAAGTTCACATGTTCTCTCCTAGAGAACTGAAAAATGTAGTCAGTTTACTTTTTTAAAAATTACAAAGAACTCTAGTGGTGCAGAGGCGAGCTCTGGTGGCCTGCTGCTAACAGGCTGTCCTGAAATTCCAAAGGCATGCAGTTCGAATCCACCAACTGCTTTGCCAGAGAATGGGCAATGCCCCCCACCCACACCATCACCACAGGCAATCTCCCATGCAATTTACTGCCTCTAAAAACCTGCTGGAGGGTCAGCTATGAGTTGGTTCTGATTTGACAGCACACAACAACAACAATGGTGCAGTAGTCAAGTTTAAACCCAGCCAGTGGTTCTGCAGAAGAAACACCAACAATGTGCTTTTTCATAAAGATTCCAACCTCAAAAAGGGTAGTTTTGCTATGAGCCCAAATCAACTAGATGGCAACAGTAATGAGCTATGATCAATATATCTATAGTATATACAGAAGAACATACACAGTGGAATGACTGCTGTGCTTCCAGCTCACAGTAGCCTTACTTGATGGGAGGAGATCTGCCCCATAAGGTTCCAAGGCTGTATTTTTGGGGGGTAGACTGTATCACCTTTCTCCTGTAGAATGGCTGATAGGTTTGCACTGTTGATCTTTTGGGTTAGACTCCAACACTTAGCTTACTACATCATCAGGGCTCTAAGAGAAGACTATATAGTACCATAGATGGGCAGTTCACATGTATCGAGAAAGATGCCACAAGAGTCAAGGCCTGGTGATTTGATTGCAAAAGGTCACAAGTGAAAAACCCCACAGAGAAGTTCTACTTCACAATATGGGAATGTCATGAGTCAGTACGAATTCAGCAGCAATGTGGGGTTCCTGTCGCTGTTGTTTATTTTGTGTTTTTTTTTAAAATAATAGAACAAATCTGTGTGGGTCTACAGTTAATATAAAATCTGAAGTTGTTACAATATTCATAACCCTATGCATTGCTTTTCAATCCCATACGCTTCTTTCTCATGCCCAAAATCATAGGGGTTTAGATTCATAAACAAGGGTTATTTATGAACACAGAGGATGTGACTGCTCTCATAAAGAAATTATTGAGTTTGCTTCTTTATGAACTTTATAAGTAGAATACATAAACTGGGATTCTCAGTTGAACTGTGTGCCTTTGGAATTGCTGTTTACAGAATATATTTTGCAGGATTTTCCATTATTGTGTATGGCTACCATACACACATTTTCACTCCTGTTCAGTATCACATTGCATGCGAATACTACAACATACTTCTCTATTTTTTTTCTAATGGACTTTTGAGTATTTCTCAGTTTTTGCCAACACAAACAGGTACAAATTCATGTCTTAGACATATGCCTACAAAGAAAATTGTTCATAAGGTTTGTGTAAATTGAACTTTACAAGGTACTGCCACATTGTTTTCGAAAGTAATTGTGCTACTTTGCACTTTCATCGGTTGTACATAAGTTCCCATTATTTTATATGTTCATTAACAGCTGAATTTCAAGACTTCTCATTTTTGTCAATCTAGTGTATATAAAAGGAGCTCTTGGGCCTACTGGGTAAAGAGTTTGCTGCCAACAAAGGACTGCTGTTCAAATTCAATCCAGGGAGGATTTCCTCCCATATGGTTCACAGCCTCAGAAAACCCTAAGAGAGTCAAGCTATGTGCAGACTCCAACTTAACAGCAATGAGCTTATTTTGAGTTGAGTGTTTATAAGGGAGCTCTGACGGCATAGTCTATGGTAAGTTGCATTACCAGTCCAAAGAGAGTGCATCTCTGTCAGTTCAAATCCACTAGCAATCCCATTAAAAAGATAAACAGTTTTAGCTCATTATAATTTGTTGTTATGTGTTATCAAGTTGCCTGCAACTCAAAGCAACCCCACGTACGGCAGCTCTGAACCCTATCCTGTCCTGACTCAGTCTCACTGACTCTGACATACAAAGCCTCATTGTCCCAGTTACTGCATCAATCCATCTCATCTGGGGTCTTCGCATAATGTCCTTCTCCAAGGATCAGTCCCTCCTGGCCATGTAGCCAAAGTATATGAGATGGAACTTCAAAATCCTAGCCCCAAGGAGAAACTTGGTTTCACCCTCTAAGAGAGACTTCCCCC